CTTGAGATGACAAACACACTGCTAGGGTAACACTTCGCATGCGTAATCAGGCTGCATCTTAGCCCAGGCAACTGGCAGGTGCCTCGGGCCCTTTGCTGACTCGCCCGCTGGGTGGGTAGCAGGCCTGTGGCCCTCCCAGGGCAGTGTGCTGTGGGGTCGGTTTCTGGCAGGGGAGCTGTGGGAGCCCCAGTGGGGTTACGATGAGGGGCAGTGACCTCTGGTGGGCCTACCGGTTCAGCAGAGGGCAGGGCCAGGGGCGGGAGGAGGCTGGCGGAGCCAGCGCAGACCTCAGCGAGGTTTCTCCTTTGGTCGCACCCCCCCGCCCCGCCCCAGACAATTGAGGTTTGTATTAAAGCGGGAACAGGACCAGCAGCAAGCCCTTTCCCTGACCCCTGACCCCTGCCTCCACTCTGCCCACTAAGTGCAGGGGTGCTGAGGGCAGACATGGGGTTCCCATGCTGACAGTCCTCGGGAGGGAGGGGCAGGGGCCCAGCTCGGGCGGCTCGTGAGGAGAGGCGACCAAGGAAGGTCGCTCTCTGAGCCTCGTGTCCACGTCAGCCACACGGATGGTGCTGTCGCAGTGCGGGAACACGGCCATGTGAGCACGCGCCTATCTGTGCCGCGCACACGGCCGGCTGCCCAGCCAGGGTCTCACCCAGGCTGCTGCAGAGCAGACACTACAGACCCTTTGCAAACAGAAGACTGAGGCTCAGAGATGTGAGGTGACTGGTGTCCCTGTCCCCCCTTCTTTTCTCTAACACTCTGCCTGGCACACTGCCTCCACCCCTCTCTACACAGCTGTCACCACGACCCAGCCCGTAGTGTGCGTGCATGTGTGCATGTGTGCGTGTCCGCGTGCATGTGTGTGTGCGTGTACGTGTGCGTGCATGTGTGTGTGTGACTAAACTAAGGGCAGGAACTCAGGCCTCAGCGGAGGCCCCAGCTGACCAGCGATCAGCAACAGGGGTGAAGTCTGACCACGGGCTCTTCCTGAACGAGAGCCCAGAGCCCGGAGCTCAGGCCTGTGGGCAGAGAGGCCGCGGCTGGAGGACAGGGTGCCTGCCCAGGCCCCAGAGTCCACGCCTCTTCCCCTCTGGCCGGGCCTCCTGCTGAGTGCCTGGCCCAGGCAGTTGTCCTGTGTCACCACCTCCCTAGCTCTGCTCTGCCTGACCCCTCCCACTGCCAGGCCTTTCCAGGCTCTGGGTCCCACCTCTCCCCCAGCTGGACACCTGCCTGTGTTAAAGGTCAGCAGTGAGGCCCTGCTCTCCCCCGGCACCTTCTCTAGGAAGCCTGTCAATGCCCCTCTGTGCTGTGCCCGGAGGGGACATCAGAGCTGGCACAGGCTTGGCCTCTGCCCCATCCCAGGGGAAGGGGTCCAGGCTTGTGACAAAACAGGGTGCTGGTGGAGGAGGGGTGAGCAGTGGGGCTGGGCGAAGGTCCGTTTAGGTCAGGATGAGCCTTTGCTAGGCAGAATCGTCCAAGATGGCACCTGGGTAGAGTGGGGGGTGGCATGACCCCCTGAGGCAGGAAGCCTGGGCAGGCTGGTGTGCAGGGCCTGAAGGACACCCTCCTGGAGGGTGGCTCCCAGGAGGTGACTGAACGTGTGTGGGGGAGGTGGCCTGGGACATGGTTGGTGAAATCAGGGGAGACCCAGGGGTCCTGGAGACGTGGCTGCAGGAAATGGTAACAGTGGGGGTGGAGGAGCCAGGAGCCGGGGAGCAGCACGAGTGTGAATGTGTGTCAAGAGAAGTGGCCTCGCCTGGACCTCTGGGGGCTCCTCCAGCCCAAGGGGGAGCCACGTCCTGACCCCCTGTGCGCGCTGGCGAAAGGGCCCCAGGAGACTGACTTCAACGAGAACCCTGGGGAGGGAGATCCCTGTGGATGCTCTGGGTGGGCCAGGAGGTCGCACGGTCCTTACAAGTGGGAGGGGACTGGAGAAGGCGTGGGGTGGAAGCAGGTGGGACAGACGCCGTGCTGCGTGCTCGGAGGATGGGGGCGGGGGGGCTGCAGCCAAGGAAAGCCGCTGGTGACTCCGGCACACATGCCCACTCTGGCAGAGCCTTGCACAGTGACCACAGTGGCACTGCTCACATGAGACCATAGGGGCGTCCCGGCTCTGCCTTCTCGCCACAGCTGCTCATCTCTGTCCTCCAGGAGGAGCTGGCCAGTGGCGGCCCGGGCCTGACCTTGCCATGAATTCCCATCTCACCTTCCTCGTCTGCTCCTGGGCCTCAGAGCAAGCTCCTCCCCGCTCTGCTGTTCTTCCCCATCCCTGCCCAGGATCCAACACAGGGCTCAAGGGGCCCACCGGTGGGAGCAGCCCCTGGGCTGCACTGCCCGTGCCCGTCCCTGGGCCGTGGCACTGATTCCCCCTGAGTCTCAGCTGCTCTCCCCACGCCGGGCGGGCTCTCAGCGTGTGCTCTGAGCAGCACTGGGCAGAATGGGGATGGTCACCTCCCTCATTCTTCATCCCTTGCCTCTATTACTACAGCCTCGGGCAGCCCGGTCTCACTGGGGGACTACTAGCGAAGGCTTCAAGTCCGAAGCTCCTAAGCCTGTGCCACACGGGCTGCTCTCAGAGGAGACGGCGCGAACGATTAGGATTAGGATTAGGATTAGGAGCTCCTGGGAGGGCTCAGCGGCTCGAGGTGCCTCCGGGCCTCTGAGGGTCGCTACCGAAGGCATGGGGCCTGGGCTGTCGGCCTCAGCCCGGGGTCAGTGCTGTAGGAAGACCAGAGGAGGGAGGGCTCCGCTGGAGGACAGGAGAGGCTCTAAGGGATGGGAGGGGTTCTATAGCAGAGAGGTGGGAATGTGGGGGGCCAGTCAGCACCCATTCCCTTCGCCCCCCTGACACCTGCTTCCCAAACCAGGGTGAGGGTGGCTGGCGGTGCCCTAGATGCCCCCTTCCTCATCTCCAGGACGGCTCTGGGCCATTACCCACCAGCGCTAATCAGCAAGAGCACAGGCCTTCTTGCCACTGCCCGCCCGCTGCCAACCGTGATGCCCACTCACTCCGCCCTCTGCCGCCACCCTCGCGCTGGTCCCTGCTCCGGTCTCTGGCCTCCACAGCTGTGCCTGCCTCTCCCCAGGAGGCTGAGGGGCCTGGGGCTTCTTGGGCCTCAGAGCACCGGCAACTCTTAGGTTCCCACCGATCCCGTCTAGACACCTTTCCAGAAAGTCCCAGTGCTGACCCACACCTTCCTGGAGGGCACTGGGCCTGACTGCTTAGGGGCCTCTCAGCCCTTCCCAGGCCAGCCCAGGTGGCCCAAGTCGACAAGCCAGCCCCGACCAGAGAGCTTCCGCCTGAGCTCAGCCACCTGCCTGTGTGACCGGAGGGGAATTCCGGGCCTTCCGGCCTCAGTGTTCGCGTCTGAGAAACAGGGCTTCCTGCCCGGGCTTCAGGGTCCGCAGAGCACCCACAGCCAGCCCATGCGCTCCTCTGCCTCTCAGAGCCTCCCTCCCAGGGCCCCACTCAGACCGCCCTCCTCCCCAGGCACCGGGGCTCCTGGAGGTCCCCAGGAGGACGAGAGACTGGGTGACCTCTCCAGGCCCTGCAGGCCCTGACCCCCATGGTCCCGTGACAGTTAAGATGACCCATGCTGCCAGCGCTCTGGGCTCAGCTCAGGGTAGTGTGACCTTGGGCGGCCAGGGCACCCAGTGAGCCTGTTTCCTCACCTGAGACATGGGAACGCACTGCCTGGCCCGGCCTGGCCCCACAGCTCCCAAGGCTGGTGTGACCTATCAGTGCCACAGGGAAGGCTGTGGCCGTCCTAGGTCACCCTAGCTGTGCTCCCCGGGGCCCAGGCAGCTGGTGCCCCCCCCCCCCCCCCCCCCCCCAAAAATGGGAAACCCCTGAGGTTTTTTTGTGGGGGGGGGTCGGGGGGGGGCAAAAACCTTCTTCTCCTCTCCCCCCCCGCCCCCCCAAAATGCCCTGGAGGGGACTAAGGTCCCAGGGGTCGGGGGCCCCTGGAGTCTGGACCCCGCCC